ATGGTTTCATTTTAACTCTTCTATCTTTGTACTACCGATGACCTATTATTGCCCATTTTCAAAGAAGTTTATGTTGCTAAATGAGAAAGCTTTGAAATACATCCCTTGAATTTAACAATATACCCTTTTGTTGGAGCGCATTTTGCGAAGTAGTTAGAGGGACACTTCATTACACACGTGGTCGTTGGTTCAGGTTCACATTCCACCCTTACTGGGCCTGCTAGGCTTGTCTAAGAGAATAAAAACACTGACTCGATTTATCTGTAGGCAAAGCATGTCGTGGTATGGTTTAGATTTGGATTCAATTACCTCAACGATGCTATGGATGAGAACGAAGGCATAGCGTATTCATCAACTATTGATCAACGACGGACCTATCATGTTTATTCTTCATTGTATATAAAACTCTGAAAAAGGCTTCGGAGGATGGAAAAGCGTCTTTCATTCAATAAAGACCCTATTTACATCCTTGACAACTTGCCAGTGTTTCCAGAATTTTCAGTTAAGAACACACATTGCGTTTCGCTCAATCGTACAGCAGATTCCGCGCAAAATCGAATGAATGGGATTGAATTGCAGCAACATAGAAAACAACGAAAACAAACTTTTTTAATAGTTTAGGAAACATCGGCATATTGCCTATGTCGGTTGTAGGCGTGATGTGTAATACTTCGTGGCTTTGAGAAATCTGTTAAAGAAGAATGTGATTTTCTCTGGAGCAAACAAAAATGAAAGACGTATGTGATTTCGGAGGAGAACCTTGAGAAAGAAACGTAATAAATGAGTGAGATGAGTGGTGGGTGAAACTGGTTTCTGCACACCATTATATTCATTTGGCACTTGCTCACATTGGTTGTGATCATGCCAACAGTTGAGAAAACCATGAAAAGAAAAAAATCTGGTTCAGAACTTTGAACACTGCACCGAGGTCTACCGCGATTGTAGACAGAACAAGAGTAAAACTAATGATGAAAATGAGTAGTTTATATTCGAAAAATAGCGATTTCGGCAGCTTAAGCTTACTAGTTTGTCTTGCACACAACGTTATTGCAAGTTGTGAGAAGGATAAATGATAAACTATGCTAAATATCTCTTCAAAACTTCCTGAAAACTAACAATGAAAGGCGGTAAAAGAGAAATAAACAGCAAGAATAATCTCATACAGAAAACCTTATATCGTTAATCGGAGAAAGACAAGAGGAGATGGATAAGATCAATTCGCTACTGGAAGGGTGAACCCAAGATTCGTAAAACTATGTTTGCTAAACGCCTTGTTTTTCGAAGTCAAAATTAGTTGTGTGGATAGCAATAAAGAATAAAGCACTAGTTGCTGATCAAGCACTCAGATGTGTCGTGCATTTGACTCCGATTGTAGCGTTGTAGAGTTGATTTAGGGCATGTTCGGTTTTCTAATTCAGTTTTCTTATAATGCTTTCATACGTTTTTTCTGATAGCAATTTCCTAACTCCAGAGCAATGGAGGATTGTTGAGAGCGCTTAATCGGACCAACGAGCATTCATGTAGTGCAGGATACCTCTAACCACTGTGGTTCATGTGTCCGCAGATTTCTACAACAGAGGCAGTACTTTCCTTATCTCATACACATTACATCAGCGCTGTAAACATACTTGAATGATTTATTAAGGTAAATTTGTCTTTCTTTTCTAGCAGTTCATCTTGGAGATTATTCTTTCATTCTATCCTCCCTCATCAACAAGAAGCAAGCAGAAATCAGGTCTATAAGAGAGCATGATTATGAGGCGTTCACATTTTTATTTACTTGGATACTTGGATAGCCTATCCTCACTAGTTGTGCGGGCCCCAGCATAATCTCCTATTTTTGCTGGCTGTTTTGTTTTGCTGGGTTAGCCACTGTGGTTCCCTGGAGCCCGACGTCAGCCATGACAAGCTATTCCCGAGGTCGCATCACCAAAGAAAGTCGCCTCCTCTGTGGATCAGAAGGAGATTTACCACCATGTGACTAGTTTGGTACCACGACGGTGGTGGATCCTGGTGTTGGTTTACTCTTAGCTGGGTTTCCTAATGGAAACGGAAGCAGAAACGCTGGACTCCTCAGCTTGGGAGACCCTGACAGGAGGATGAATCTCCTCGCCGTACTTAGCAGTTCTACGACCAGGAAGAACTCTCAGCAACGATGAGGCGGTAAACCGTTGGGAGGCTTCACATTCATTGAAAGTTCTAAATTCTAAAATCGTTAAAAAGGTTTACAATAAACCGAAAATTTAGTGTTTTTAATCGTTTGGAATTAATGTGTCTCACATCCTAGAAAACGAGTGATTTCCTTGGAGGAACTTTGGTTTAATATGTTGCGTTATCTATGTTTATAATAATTACTGAATGTGGTCCAAATGATCTGAGCTCGTAAGAATTAGGCGAGTTTGATAATCAAAAATTAACTTTCTTTGGTTACGTTCTACAGTAACTCGAATGTTCACAATATTTCGACTTCGAGACTAAGAGTTCGATACTTCTGGATTTGTGCAGTGCTAAAGGTGAAGAAATGATCCTCATTGTCTTAACATCCTGAATACTGCCTATCTTCCCGTATATCCAGATATTTGTCTTGGTTAATGGCTTGCGTTGGTGGATTTGACTAGCCAGGCGTATTTAATCGTAACCTCGATAGCTTACGGTGTTAAGCAGCTCACCCCTATAGGATGCGCATTTGCTGTCAGCTATCCGGTTTAAGCGCCAGGTTACCCATTTATCTATCTCTCTTTCGTGTTAGCCGATTTTTCATTGATGAAAAATGTAAGGAAGCTTGCGATCTCATCCTGAACATATTCCATCTATATCCATTATTGAGTCCTGTACTCTTGCAAATGACTCACTTCTTCATCCAACTCTTTCCGCTGCTGTGATAAACTTACGTGAATGCTATAACGAAAAGCACAGCGATTTCTTTTTGGAAAGATCTATAGGTAGAGATTTTAAGACTCATTGCCTTCTTTTACCTTGTACAGAAAGAAAACCTATAGTTTTTGTTACACTAAGAATCTGGTGGTAACAACGGGTTTTTTTTTGCCTCTTTTAAGAAACGTTGCCTAAAAATTTGCGGTTGAGTATTTCTTAAACAACAAAACTAAATAGAGGCAACTTGTAAACTTGGAAAACCTGGGAGCATATGTGTCACAGGGCGCTGTGCAAGCAGAAAATTTGGGAAAAGTTGCTCTATAAAAGCAGTTCAGAAGCAAATGTAGGATTTCCTATTTCCTCATCAACAAGCAGCCTTTACTAAAGGTTTTTCCATTGTGATTGTTACACTATCGGCAAGGAATTCTTCCAGAAGTGTATCAACACTACAGCTGATACTTCATCGCCATATATTAGTAAATTGTAGTATTTCCCGGCAGTAGTCTATCTTATGAAGCAAGACTATACCAAAATGTTTCTCATAACCACTTGGATTGATTGGTTGTTACTACGTTGTAAAAATGTTGTGTTCTCTGTAAGGAATTCGGTCGACGACCTTTTCTAGAGTCAAATGATAGACTAGATCTACTTATGCTTATGTTCGAGACAAATCCACCCATCTCAGGCAATGATAAAATCGCTTCAATTTTCGACCATTTCTGTCGGTCCTTCGGTCGCCGAACTTGACGGCGATGGCGATGACGATGGCGGCACTGGCGACGGACGATAGGGGCGGCGGTAACGAGGGAGGCGGTGTCGCTCAAGAGTGTCGTAGCTAACACCATTCTCTCACACCAACACGTAACCCAACCTTGATCACTCTCCGATGCAGATGGTACCTTTCCAAACCATGGAAACAAAACGAAGGACGATTAAGTAGAACTAGGCTCAAGAACACTTTCAAATACACCATTTCGATGTTTCATTCATCGTGTCTTCAGTACTCCAGTTTATGTAGTGCTAAATTCCATGCCAGGAACTGTTCAGATATATCACCCACTTTTCTTCTTCGGCAACATTCATCTCTTTGTGTTTTCTTATGGCGCTTCCTACACATTCCACACGTCATAGTTCCAAAACCTGTTTATATCTAATTTTCTATGGAATCACCTCAATTTCCCACTGAAAAAATATAAGCCGCTAATTAATAACTTTTGAACGAGAATTTTTCTCATTAAAAGACTACACCGAAGAATTTACACATCAAAAGAACTACGCTAGTCGCTTTTCGTCGAGCTTCCGCCGCTTTGAGAATTGAAGCAAATCTCTAAGCTAACGACGTCTAATTGAAAACGTAAAAAACGTGGACGGTAACTGTTTAGAGGGTCTAACTAAACTAACGAAAAAGTATAGAGTTAGTTCATACTATCGGCCGGCTGAGATTTTACTAGGTCTAATATTGGCTGTAGACATTATGGCACATGTTGTTACTAGCGTTGACTGCTCTTTTACTATCCACCAGTTACACCTACTAGTAGGAAGTGTTTTTTGGGCCTATAGTCTTGTTGCAGACAACATCACACCCATACTTCTGAATTATTTCTAGTGGGATTGTGCAGGGAAGGTTTAAGAATCTCGATATCAATGATTTTTCGTTCAACTTCTTTTCGTTGCTTACAGCGTTCTTCTCTTTTCATTTTATGAATATTAAATTAACTTGGCAGTTTTCATTGTGAGAATAAAAAGCAGAAGACAAGATTGATTTCCATTCACTCTCGCTCTCCTCTCTTCTGTCTCTGTTTTTCTCTGCCTCTTTCCTCCCCTCTGTCTTCACTATTCCTTCCCTGTCTTGCGCTCTGTTTCTCCCTATCTTCCTCTTTTTGTTTCTAAAATCTCACACGCCTAATATATAATGCAAAAACAACGTAAGCAAGCGTTTTTTTGCTTAGATAGCGGGAAAAGGTGCGCATCAATTTGAACACCGGACGCGAACGGTATCGTACCATTGTTGTTGTTGTTGATTGCAGGAATACGTATTTCGTTAGCGTTCTCCCCTTTAATCTTCAGCATCCGTATTTTGCCGTCAGCCCTGGCCCATTAATTCTCGTCGTCTACATCGACGTCCTATGTGGACACAGATCCTGTGTTTTTCCGTCGTCGCTGCCGCCGCCACTCTGACGGTAGTGGTGTACGCAGCGCCATTGAATGTACCACAAAGCATCAGTAAGTAAACTTTTTTCTTCATAGTGTTTAACTTACACAATTACCGCCAACATTAATTGCAGTAGATAGTTTGTGTTCTTGCTTTTTGTTCATCTATAAATCCGATATGGTCGATTTCACATCGGTCACGGCACCTAAACGTTCAGTATTGCATACGTTCAATGAGCCACGTTAAATGACTTTAATTCTAATTTAATTGCTTCTACATAATCTTCTCCGATATCATTCTTGTCGTAGGACTGAACTAACAGTCGTTAAAAAACTATCTCAGCCGACTAGAGCTTTAATGTTCATTTGTCTTTTGTTAGAAATTTGGCCCTGCAACTTATGCGACTTGTCCCAATCTTCGCATTGTTTAGTTACCACCTTTTATCACTTCCGTAGTATCATTTTGAATAGTTTAATACTACATTAAATGTCGATTAGATGCCTTTCGCTCTGACGAGAGCAGATTTTATCACCTATCGCGAAAAAACTACAGAAATGATTAGTGGGTCTTCTCTTCGTCGCGCTTTCTACTATGGTGATGAACTCACCAAAGACGAAGATATTTTTCATTGATAGGACTAGCAATATAACACTCAGAAAGCACAAACATACACATATATAAACACATGCGGTCATACACAAACATACATAGATACATACATACATACATACATACATACGTACATACATACATGCATACATACTTACATATATACATATATACATGCATACATACATACATACGTACATACATACATATATACCTAAATGCATACATATATACATACATACATATATACATGCATACATACATACATACATACATACATATATACATACATATATACATACATACATATATACATGCATATATACATACATATATACATACATATATATATACATGCATATATGCATACATATATACATATATACATATATACATGCATACATACATATATACATGCATACATACATACATACATACACACGTACATAAATACACACATACATATATACATACACACATATATACATGCATACATATATACATACATACATATATACATGCATACATACATACATATATACATATATACAAACATACACACATACATACATGCAAATACACACGCACACACACATTGGCACGTTTTCGTCGTAAACGAAATCTGTGACAGCCTGCAGTTGAAAAGGAGTTGCTGTTAGGTGGTGCTATGAAGCAGGTAACCTTGAAGGGTTGTCGTTAGTAACAAATTATCACCACCTCATTTAACATCGTAGCACTAAAACAAAATAGCCGTTTACCGTTACTGCGAACTATTTGACGTTACCAAGAAGGATTGCGAACACGTAACACTTTTTTAAATAGCCGGTATCGCTTGTACAGTCATTGTAACAACGTCGTCAAGGTCATATTATTCGAGCTATTTGATCAACAGCTACGCAAAGAAAAACAAAAACATAAATCGCTTTATTGTCATCGATATCGTTTTTCCATTGTTCATCGTGAACTGGTACTTTGATCGTTCACTGTACATAGATTATGAGAGCACTTCGTAGGCTTCCTTTTCAGATAATATCAATCGGAACGCGATACTTTCCAGATTCAATTACTTACTAGTAAGAAAATTCCGATCGAAACAATTAGGTGTAATGACGATGACGATAATGATATCACTAGCGCATACCGTCGGTAGTCATCCTCAATACATTACTGATAGATAGGATTGCAATTTTACGACAATATTTCTCTCCTTAAGAATTTCTTCTTTTTTTCTTTCCTCTTCCTCTTTTTTTTCTTCTTCTTTGTGTCGTATTCTTCGCCAGACAGCTTCAATCTGCAATCAATCTTTGATCCCCAGGGTAGTTTATGCATTGACTTCCATGTAACGTCTTCGAATAGTCGAAAAAACTGTGAATAGGAAGTGAATACATGCATTGCATTCAGTTAAACATACGTTCACAAGCATCCTGTCGAACAACTAAATCCCATATATCGATTTTAATGTAGCATTTGTGTTTTCGTCATCGTTGTCCTTTGATGAAAACTCGTTTTCGTTCCTATGAGTGTGCGATGATAGGGTGCGTCTACGCCATGAAAAATTCAGCGAAAAAAGTGGAAAATCCGTTAGGTGACCACTGTATGGTCGTTCTTGATTTTTATGACTATTCTTCACGCTGAATTACCTCGTCGTTCCGATGTGACCACAAGGACAAATTGTTACCTATCGTATTGCGAGAAACATTCGCTGAAGATGTTGTGCATCGTAAGAGAAACTTTCACTGTCATCGTCACAGATCAATCCGTCACCATTTGTAAGAGACGAGTTGCCGATAATCTCGAAATCGATGGCAAGAACGACTCACCCCGGAGACAAGCTGGTTGAATGCATTTACCAGTTTTTTCGGAAATGTAACACTCTCGACTGTTTCGATTGAAGCACTAAGTTACCGATCTCAGAGTGGAAGGTATCACGGATCTGTTTGGAGATTTTATGCTGGCTTTTGCGTATTCCTTAACTGTGACTCTAGAAAACGACTCTTTCTCATTACCTAAAGGTCAAGAGATTCTCGTAAGGAAATGCTATAGAAGAATGAAAAGGTCTAAGGTCTAAATTTGAGAATGATAATCAGTCGCTCTTGAATTTCAAAGCGGCCGTTGAGAATGAAAACGCTTAATGGGAAACTAGGAATAACACCACATGTCCATAGCGTTCAAGAAAACATTTTGCTAACAATCTACACGGTGATTTAGGTAGGTAATGAGCATTTGAATGCAAAGAGCCGAAATTCCAGAGGGATTCTGTGCAACCTTTCTAAAATTCAGGACTATATAGCTTTTTTTTAAAACGTTGCTTTGATTTTAAAAGAGCGCAAACTTCAATTTAAAAAAATGAACGTAAACTTTGAAATTTTAATTTTTTGGAAGAGTGGGAAAAAGTTATTTCTTCTAAGACCATCACCGAAATAAATCACAATGACCTCTGTAGAGGTCGTGCCGGCCGAAACGCCATCCCCACATGTGACTCCTGTAGAGATCACGTCTTATCATAAGTGTTGGACATTAGCTTAAATCGTAATAACGCTTCAATAAATAATCTGATTATATGGGCGGTTGGAAATTATGTAGGAGACTATAAAGTAGAGTGAGAAGAACTGGAGAAGGCATCACTGAAACTGCACAAGTGTCTCTTCGCTTTGCTATTTCGACATTTGTGAGCGCCTGAAAAAAAAGTGCAGGCACAGTTTCAATGAACGAAATTCAATAAAGTCATAGCTGAAGAAAGAAAATCAATCACATACTGAGGAATTACCGATGGGAAGATCCTATGGTTTCTTCTATAAACATCACTGTACTTTCAGCTTGTCCTGATAACAAAATCTACGTCTTCGTTAACCAATCGGACGTCGACAGAACACCTTACATTTTCGTCGAAATTCACGCTGATGACTTACAAGTACGTTTGAATTACTCAGCCACTCATGCTTCTTAAGTACTCCTCACTTCTAAAGTTGTATTCTAGTTTCGTGGTTAATTTCTTAAACTTAACGCTTTGGTTCTACTGTGCTAGAGTATTTCCGGGATTTTTCGCAGAGCCACCTTACGATCTTTTAACAAGAACCATGTTTTTAGGACTGTATTCATAAATGCTTTGGAAATGAGTTTTGCTACTCGCTAAAATACGACAGTACAGCTGCCGACAAGTGTTCACTATACTATTTCGCTTCGTTCAACTGTACAGCACATGAACTGGTACTAGCTACCGATGTGCAGTATCGTGGTGGCACCACCATCATCGATTGTCTCAAATGTCCTGCTAATAGAGATTTCGGTCAGTGCTTATCATCCAATTACTTCAAGAAGTATTCTATCGGATTCATAACTGGTACCGAGGGTGCTACTGGCACAAGGTCAGCACGTGCCATTCAACCCATGTCCGTCACACTGTGCAATACTTCTACAAAATTGTCCCACTAAAAAAACCCATTATTCAAGTCTTTCACGGCGTCTGGTATACGGGGTACACAGTGATCTCTAGCGTCCATAATTGTCTTCGTGTTTTTTTCGCTTAGAATGACTTTGTCTCGAAGCAAAAAAAATACAGTATCCTTGAACTCAATGGGGACACAAACAGATGGTTTTCGCGCGATTTTTGGGTTAGTTGGGTAAAATTTAGTTAACCTAGAATGATATAAGCTGCCTATGAGCTGAATATTTTCTCCGTTTGTACTCAAACACCTAAAATCTGCTGTGGAAACGTATTACCGAAGCTTTCGACTCTTTATGGAGCCTAAATATGACATGAAAAACTAATTTTTCCTCCCTAATACTTGAATGTTTGAGTTTTTTCATTAGATTTTTGAAAAAATTATTTGAGTCCAGTTTCTAAAGTAGCTACTTTTTGCGATGAATGAACCTTTCGTAGTCGAATGGAGCGCAAGTGGAGCGGAACACCGTACCAATAAAGTAATCTCTCTCTCTCTCTCTCTCTCTGGCGTAACAGTACCATCGGATTACTGGCCTTTAGAAGAATAATTCAAGTCCTTCTGTTCATGTGAACAAAATCCGCTGTATAACACTTCGAATACTACTTTCTCAAACTTTAGCATAAAGGGAACTAAGAATTTGCGAGCAATTTTCTTTTTCTAATAACTTTTCGCCTCTTATTATCGACGAATGGGTTTTCGTCCTGTATGTTCCACCTTTTTTTACAGTAAGGAAAGAACTACACAGTCATTTTGTTTATGGCTTACGATGGTAATGTTATTATAAAGCACAAGATGGCATTCTCCTTTCGCAGTACGAGTACTGATTAGTAGGACACAAAGGTGTTGTTAGAGTGAATCAAAACGAGGATGTCACTCAGTGCCTATAGAACTCTTACTCTTCTCTTTCAAGAGCACACTTCAAAGACAGCAGTTGTTATTCGATAAAGTAAGTAAGAACATCAGTTGTAATGACAAATATTTGTTCTGTAATTCCAGAATCAGTTCTTTCAGAAGTCTTTCCTCTTTTCATTAAATATTTTCACTTGCAGCTCACATCAAGATGATGCATTTTTCTATTTTATCGATTAAAACTGACGTTTGTTTGTTCTAGTATTCATTGCTACGTTGCAAATAGAAGGGAAATTGAACGTGACAAAAGTAAAACCAATCCGTAAACCATAATGATGCATGATCGGCAAGATGGAATGTTTCGTCGATTTGATAAGAAGAGATACGCAAACACGTCCATTGTTTGTAAAATGACGTCTGTTTCGGTTGTTTTCTGCTAATAGCATAGCGGAAATCTTTCATATTTATGGAAAAATTCACAAAAACGAATTCTATGTTCAGTTTTCGAAGCGTCTTCAGGTAAAATTTGCTTTTCATAATCAGGGTAATGACGACGCACTCTACTTACAGTCACCGCTCCACCATTCTTTGCTCTCAACGATCAAGCTTTTCTAACAAAGGATTTGAATGATCGTACATTTGTTTCTAAGCCACCTAGGAATGAACTCACTAGCGATATTGGATCGAAATTCTCAGGTAGGAATTCTCTATCACGCAAAGAAAAACCAATCACGTAAAAGACCAAGGATGAAGCATTCGGCATCATTCATTCCCTTAGGGATGCGCTCTGCGTTCGGCTTCATTAATAATCGTTGAAAAGGATTGAATCCATATATGGTCTTTATATTGACTCGCGGTGGTCTACTGTTGTATCGAGCCTGTGTTTCTACCCTTCCAGACAAGTCTGGTACCAATTTGCTAAACCCGGAGGGATGGTAGGCACAGTGAGCCCGTGGAGCGTGACCAAACCAATGACGACTTGTGCCCTGCAAGGCACTTCTAACAACTGAATTGCATGCACCCAAGTCATCTATGCCATTACTTACTTACTTGATACTTGAATGGCCCGTCTTCACTGGTTGTGCGGCTCCCAGCGTAATCTCCATTTTTCAGAGATTTGCTCGTTAAGCCGTTATGGTTCCCTGGAGTCCCACGGTCGGCCTGGCCAAAGTCTGACCCAGGTCTTCACCACCACGGGCAGTCGCAGCCCATGTGGATCAAAGGGAGATATATCACCATGGGGCTTTGATACCAGGGCGGTGGCGGTTCCTGGTTTTGGTTTCCTCTTAGCTAGGCTGGCTTCCTGATGGAAACGTTGGACTCCCCTCTCAGCTGGGGAGACCCAGCCAGGGGATGAATCCCCCGCTGTACATCACAGTCCGACACCCAGAAACACCTCCCAGCCACGATGAGGCGGTAAACCGTTTGTAGGCATCTAGACCATTACTTGCTGAAGAGTCCCAAAATTAAACCAAGGAATGACCGACGATCTTCATTTAGGTATGAGTCATCTTTACGATGCGCATTCATCAATGGCACTTCACCATTGTTAAACTTTACTTAGAAATAAGTTTCTCTTGTTTGAAATGTTCTTCTCTGTTCGTGGTATAGTCTAATAATAGCACATTTCTCAAATAGTAGTATCACCTAAATGCAAAGGAATTACCTCTCATACCGTTACCATGGTTGCTCTTCTTCACCGTATACGCATGTGGAACTCGAAAAATGCATCGTCATAAGTAAGGATTGCGACCGAGGTCATAAAATGCTCAAGTGTTCGCCGAAAATGTCTTCGTCATTGTCATGAGTCAAGTTCCGAAAAATAAGAGTGCTAAGAGAGCTTAGCTAGACACATATGAAGTGCTGGTACAAGAGAACGGAGGAATAGGGGAAGTCCGATGAAAGTATTTCAAACCCTAGGAATGCCAATAACTGACGACCCATACGAAGAACATATGCCTATGCCTAGTAAATATACTTGCTGAAAACGATAGGACATTCATAACGTAGCTGGCTTTTCAACAACAGTCGGCAATGTCTCTATTTGTTGAGTAAAAAAGAAGGTTAGAACTTTATGAACTAACAAGGAGCCTTTATTCTATTCTCTTTAAGCGTAAATAGAGCCTTATAGAATGTTCTTTTAATTTTCTTAGAGCTAATGTACGTTAGAAAATAGATGGCAAAATTCAAGTTTTTGAAATGTCCCTCATATGTGCTGCAACTGGAGGAACCAATGCGAAAGACCGTCATGTCTTTCTGGACGAAATTCCACTTGTTGTTCAATCGCTTCCCTGTTTGAAATGTGAGCCTTGTGGCTAAAAAACGAGTTTTTGGGCTTCGGAGAATCGGAATTCTTTCGTAATAAAAGAGGAGAAGGAAGACGAAGACGTCGAAACGTTAGTCGAAAATAGGCATCATTATCAACCTCGTGTAAGCTTATCAAAGAAAGAACGCATGCTGATTAGTCATACCGAGGTTCAAGGAAAGTCGGTTTCGAAATAAAAGAGGAGAATTTATACCTCGTGGGCAAAGATCATCAGACTGTAATTGTTTTGAATCACAATTTTAAATTATTATTTACTGCCTACTCTTTTCAACGGCAGGATATACATTGTGAAATATAACTTCAACGATACTGAGATATTTGCAAAAATCCGGACCGCAGGTGTATGCGGTGGGGAACGAACGCGCTATTGTCCATTCCGGGGAGTAGCGCGTTCACCACCACACCACGCGGGCTCTTCGTTTCGTCTGTCTCTCAGCTAGTTCTATCGATCTTTTGCCATCAGCAATCACCCGTCAGCGGGATTGATCTGGGGACCCAAATCGGCAACGAACCCAGTTAAGCTGAGGCCGCAGTTATAATCACAATCAGTTATAATCTTGTATATCTTCTTGGTATCTTGTATACCAAGAAAAGCTTGCAATTCACTGCCTTTGCACCGGAAACCTATTGCACGATGTTAACTTAGTTTTTTCCCATGCACAGTTACCACCTAATGAAACCTAAGCATCTTGAGACCATAGATAGATTGTTAAAACTTCTGATGTTAAACGATGACTGAGGATGCGTCATGAATTGGACTCGACTTGTAGCATTGTGGAGATAATTGTATATTTGTCGTTTTCTTCTTCAATAATTGCGAGGTTGTTATACAGCGTGCATTTACTTTCATACAAGAACACACAATACAATACAGCAGTAGCCGAAGTTTCGGCAGTACCGTCTGTTTCAGAGCCTGGAAGTGTACAATGATACGCAATTTATCAGAGCAAACGCTTTAGTAACACATACAAAAAAGTCGAAAAACTCTATGGCAATTTCATGATCAACAGCTTATCGAAAAATTCATCGCTTTAAACGTAATTTTAACCGAGGAAGATTAAAGCAGCTGATTACAGTCGTATATGGTTGATGACTGCACCACCCCACATCAAAAAATGATCAGAAGATACGGGGCCAGGTCACGTGTGACCTCTGGGTATTCCTCGCTGCTATTCATCGTAGGGTTCTTGTTATTTATCCAAAAAGCCTCGAGGAGTTTGCGCGTTGTTGTTTTGGGATCCTGTGCGTGGACAGCAAATTTTACATCAAAATCGTCTCCGCTGCGCTTTTGCTTCCCAAGCGTGCCTAGTGGGGTACATTGTTTTGCTTTTCGTTTGCCACCGAGGCGTCCTTCTATACGGATACATAGAGCTCTTCCCGTTTGGCCAATATATTCACCTCCAGAACTATTACAAGAGATCAGGTATATCGTGCCTGAACTCATGCAATTACCGTCCCTGTCGTAAGGGCAAATTAAGCAATTTGTTGTTCCGCATAGACGGTCATACAAGCGGTTACGCACTAACTGACGACCTAGAGTATGCGGTGGTATTTCAACTATCGCTATCGATTCCTCTAGACCTGCCTATCCTAAGCACCGTGTTATGGCTACACTTATCTCATCGCTAATAAAGTGCAACGTGAACGGGACTTTCTTTTGGCTAAGTGTTTCGTTTTGGAGCGCCGCTCTCCTCCTAAACTTACCTCGCGTGGCTGCTATTTCGTAGGCATTGGAGATGGCTATTTGCCGAGCCAAGTCGTGATAATTTTATTTGGTCAATACAGTAACTTTCAGTGGCCGTACGGTTCATCAAATCAGTGTTTTAATCATCTAATCATTTAATCATCATCTCACACCGGCTTGATAACCATGAAAAGTTGAGAAGCTTTATTTCAACCGAATGAGGAATCGTACCGAAAGCTCATTATATACTGCAAGGCAGCTTAAAGCACTGTGCTACACACTGCGCTAACATTGGTGATATTGCCATCAAATCGTAGGCGTTCGTAAAATAACTATTGCTAACGAGTCATAACCTCCCAGCGGTTTACCGCCTCAACGTGGCTGGGAGGTGTTCCTGGGTGTCGGACTGTGATATATAGCGGGGATTCATTCCCTGGCCGAGTCTCCTAGGCTGAGAAGGTGTCCGGCGTTTTCATCACGAAGCCTAGCTGAGAGTAAACCAATTCCAGAATCCACCACTGTCGTGGTATCAAAGTCGCGTGGTGGTAAATCGTACTCTCATCCACAAGGGCTGCGACTGCCTGTCGTGGTGACGACCTAGGGCAGACTTTGGCCAGGCTGACCTCGGGACTCCAGGGTACCATAATGGCTTAACCAGCAAATCTCCGAAAAATGGTGATTATGCTGGGGCTCGCGCAACTAGTGAAGACGAGCCGTTCAAGTATCAAGTAAGTAACCAATCATAATAATTGCTGGAAAACCCATGAAAATCTGCCATAAATGGTCATTGTCTTTTTTTCACAATATGTAGTGGAATTCTAAAAGGAAGAGAAGGCGAAGGCACCGAGGCTTTAGCCGAATAAAGTTCTTTATCAACTTTGTAGGCCGCTTGTAGCGCAGTGGTTGGAGACGCCACTGCGACACACTTGGAATCATTCCCTGCGCCCATGGCCTACCAAGCCTTCCATCCCTCCGGGATGAGCAAATTGGTAGGAAACTTGTCTGGAAGGACAGCGGCATTGGTTCATCGTTGGGCCACCGCGAATCCCTGTAAAAGCCAGATATGCATTCAATCACCTCCAACGATACTTAATAAAGTCCAATGCATGACATATCCCTTAAGGATTTATCAACCCGGAAAGCTTTATCCTTTTATTATTTATCAGCCTTGTGCTAGCATGTCAGTGAAGAAGCGATGCACTTGGCTGGCATGCCTTATTGCAATCCCCAAGGCTGACTTTCTAATAACCTCGGCTATGATCGAAAATTCATTGTATTCTTGATGAGCAAATACATGGCTGTTAAACAGCCAAGAAAGCAGTGGATTATTCGATCAGCGCAGAGGTTAATAGAAAGTCGGCCGTGAGAATTACTATAAGGTTACTAATCTATTCTCTATTGACAAACAAGCTGACGTTTCAGCGTTTCCTTCTTTGAAGCCTGGAAAGGTCAACTTGACTGCAATCAACTCAGCCAAGAACTTCCATAACCAAAACAGAGAGAGTACTAAACAAAGATTTCAATCGCATGGAAAATAAAATAGAGCAAGAATAGGGTAACAACCTCGTGTTTACTCATGAAGAAAACAGTGAATTACTGCATCTGCATTCTTATTAGTGATTCACATCTGAATAGGATTTCTTCTGACCACATTACTGGAACCCGTATTTAAAAAATGGTCATCGC